TTGTAATAAATGAATAAAAAATTTCTTAGCTCTCCATTTTCTTGAAAATAATCCAACTAATACTACTAATACATTACCTGTAAATAATTCTGATCCTGTCATTGTTATTAATATTAAACTAATTGGAAATACAGCTTTTTTTTATATTTAAAATTATATTAAAATTATATTATTAAAATTATATTAAATTTAAAATTATATTTAAAATTATATTTAAAATTATATTTAACATTATTAAATTAAATTAAAAATTATTAAATTAATTAAAAACATACCACCAAAAAAGAATTTTTGTAAACCAGGTATTTGTTTTTCTAATAATTCAGAATTACCAGCAGTTAATAAAGACATTGTACAACCAACACCTTTAAATATACCAGCAAATAAAGATAAAATAATCATTTGATCAAATGTTAATTTAGATTTTCTAATACCTTCCATTTTCATTTTATCCATTACCATAGTTGGTGTTAAATATAATGGTGGATATGTTGTTACATTGGATTTAATTGGTTCTTGTTCTTGTTTTTTATCATAATGATGATAATGATGATGAATTATTATTGTTGTTGTTGCTTGTTGTTGTTTTTGTTGTTGATGATTAATTGTATTAATTGTTATATTATTATTATTATTATTGTTATCTATTATTTCATTAGGACTTGTAGAAGTAGTAGTACTAATAGTAGTAGTATTAATATTTAAATCATCTAATGGTATATCTATTGGTGTTATATCATGATGAATATGTTTATGATTATTCATAGAATGAATAGTATTTGATGATGTATGATAATTATATTCTTGTTGTTGTGTTATTTCTGATGGATGTGTAGAAATATCCCTAAGTAAATTAGTACTACTATTCATCATTTTAAAAGCCTTATTATAATCCTTCTACTATGTAATTATGTGATTTATGTAACTATGTGATTGAATAATGGGTGATTGAATAATGATGAGAGGATCTAACTCTCTCCTGTTTTTTTAAATCAATGATGGTGAGGTGTAAATTGTTCGATATTTGGAGTTTACGGAGAGGAACAATTACAATAAAAGCCACTTGATCATTTAAAGACCTGTGTACATATTCACAATGACATTTGATGACATGTTATTGTTTTATCGTATTTATACAATTAATTGTTCATTGTGTTGATAACACTGCTGAGAATATTAAAATATAACGGATATCATTCAGTGGTCTATTTAAAAAACGACAATTATTTTCCATCAAGTACAATATATGTAATATTGAATAATTTACAAGTATTGTATTTAAATGTGGTGTTTAATTGTAATATTAATTTTTAAATAATTAATATTATTTAATTTTAATTTATTGAACATTTACTCATCATGAACATTAACTAGACATCTCAATAATAGTACAATAATAGAATATTCATTAATAATAATACTATTAGATCTATTATTAATATACTATTATATTATGTATTGTTTTTTTTAACAAGAATGCAATTAAGTGGTTTAACATATTTCCATTATTATATAATTTAGAAATAAATATACAAATAATAAATTGTTGTTCTGAAAATGCTGAGATTAATACATTCCGATATAATAATAATAGTAGATGATGATGTTATTGTGCAATGCAAATTATGAATCATGATGATGATAATATTTGTATGATTTGATGATAATGTAATAATAAATGCATTTTTTAATAAGTGAGAATAAAATCAACATGTCAACTGTTAAACCATCATCATTTAATAATATAATAAAAATTTATTTAAATATATAATACACAATGGAGAATTAACAACACAACAACAATAATATTTAATAATTTCCTCTAACTCTAATAATACTAATATTCTTTTCACTTTCATCATTATTTTCATCACTTCCATCACTACCATTATTAGTATTATACATATTATTATTACTACCAGTAATATTATTATTATTATTATTTATATTATTATTATTTAAAATAATTTGATTATTAAAATGATAATATTTTAAAATATTATTAATTAAATAATCATATGATAATAATCTAATTCTTTGACAAGTAGCAGGTGAATCAAGTATAAAAATATTAAAATTATTTAAATTATTTCTTCTAAAAGATTTAATAGCATTTCTAATAGCAAATAAAACACAACATGCTAATTGTAAAGGTGGTTCACCAATTGCTTTAGATCTATATATATTACTATTACATTCTGTATTTTCTTTTAATAATAAATGTATTTTAAATTTTAAAGAAATATCATTAAATGATGGTATTTTATAATTTGATGGTCCTATTGAAAATAACATTCCACTATTTATCCATTTATTTATAATTATATTATTATTATTTAAATTATTTAAATTATTTAAATTATTATTATTATCAATTAAATTATTTAAATTATTTAAATTATTATCACCCCATATTAATTCTTCCATTAAATATAAACCAATACC